CTCGGGGTGGCGGAGGTGGAGGTCGTTGATGTATAGCCATGAGCTATCTCATTGCTCCATATGGTCTTGTTATTGTTGTCATATTGCTTATTGTTGTTGCTGCATCATGTCCATCATATGACTTAAAGCGTCCTCTTGATTCCTATTATGATCATTGGAGGTCCCTTCACCTCCTCGCTCGTGTTGGTTCCTTTCTTGACATGCTTGGACTTTGTACATGCCATGTCATCCTCATGTTAGTTTAAGTATTAAAAAAAATATACCGTAAATCATCCATTTATGTGCAAAATTATAGATATTATGAAGCATTTCGTACACAACATGTATTTACAAGCACTTATACCTTCTAAAAGTTTTTATGCTCTATTTACAATCAAAAGTGTACATATTTACATCGGAAAATACACAACAAGTATTACATTACGTGAAAGAGTTACGATCTATTATGTCCAACCAACATATCGGACGCGTTATGGGAAGGAGTGCTCGACCCTCCACCGATCAATAACATCATCCGATGCAATGCATACTATCTCGCGAGTGAGGGGCAACGGTAGATCCTAGCTATACATTAACCGGGTATGGATCCACCTAACTCCGTATCGAAAGGAAGGATCGAACCAAGTCTTGATAACAAAATCGACCTATCAACTCTTCCCAAACCTCATCTAGCAACCGTTGATCTCTTGGTAAAAGAGTCCGATGTAGAGTTAGTCACGGAAAATCCATATTGTGGTACTCGTTAGAAAAAAGCATCAACGAATGTTATTCGCTGAATCGGGTCATGCACTCGAGTGACGTGGGCTACTATATCCTAATCCGAGGTCATAGTCAATTTGTTTAGTTTAGCCCGAGTAGGTAGTTAAGGTGGCCCGTTGTTGGCGCGTCCTAGCAGCGCGAGGTGTATGAAATAAATAAGACATTTACGACCACAATAATTATCGGTATTAATATTTCTATAACAAAATTATATACCACTATGAAAATCACATAATAATAATCATACACATTTTTTTAAAAAAATATCGGGAATCAAATTGTTACCCGTCGAGTAGCACACCGGTCCTCGGGCTCGGGTGACACTTAAGGTTCTACCTAGTTAACTAAACCATAGCTCTAATACCACCCTATGACACTCCTACCCCCGTTCACTCTGTATTACCCGAATAGGAGTAACTAGGCGAGGAGCATGTCATGCCGACACGTCCAACCCAACTTAAACCCTACAACATACATGTTGGTACCATAACAACATATTACATATTGAAACATGTATAATACAATTTACATGATAATAATATTCACATTGAAGGAAATTATAATTTATTTTATTTACAATACTATCAAAATGGCTATTGATACCCCAATCCAAAATTTACAATAAAAAATGAAATCCCCTAAGGTTTGTGTCACCCACGAGTCCTTTTGAAGGATCCGGCATTTTCCTTATTGGTACTACAATCATCACTACCTGTTATAACATGCAAATAACAACAAGGTGAACCGAAGCTTAGTAAGTAGGGTGATGTATGTGATATGCAATGCTTTTCTAATTTTTCACCATACTCATTAATTTTAAATTTTGATTACCCTAGGTATTAGCGGTCTACTTTATAGGTGATTACCAAATCACCGAATGTTAACAACGAACTTATCCTTCATTGTAGCCACTCGCTGACGGGAATCCATCGCCTAACAATGTAGGCACACGGCTTAGAGCACGCACACGGTTGGATCGCTAACCCTTTTTTTCTTCGATTATGTTACCACTCCTATCTATACACACCATTTTTCAATCATTTGATTCTTTCTCAATTCATCCCCACTAATGCACGTGATGCCATGTTACCATGTTTAACTTATTGTGGGTACCAAACCTACACTATCAATTTGTTCTTCACTTGACGTCCGTAATTAGTAATATTTTAAACTAGTTTACAATATACTAAGGTGACATTTTCTCTCCGAACCCAAATTGGGGTATTTTGGGCTAAATTGGGCTTTTAAATGTTCTACGTCAAAATTTTGATTTACCTAGCAAATTTTTTTTCCTATCTAAATGTCCTCTTAGACTTATTATGGTGTACTCAAATCATTAATTATGGAATTGAAGGATTGGAATCCAAATCCCCACGAGTTTAGGGTTTAAGCCGAATAGGTCCTTAAAGTGGCCAAAGATTACTTTTTCATCCCAACTTACTAATGTGTACCTAATTAAATTTTAATTGAGTCCTATGCTCTTAATTACATAAAATGGGTCCAATCTTATTCATTTTCTTACTTAGGCCGAAAGGGTTCTTGAGTGAAACCCTAGGAATTAATGTTTCCCTCCTTTCCAATTTGTGGTGTATTATAGGACAACCTCTAATCAAGTAGGCAACGTATCAATTTCCGAGCATAATTAAATTCTATCCTTTTTTATTAGAAATTAGACATATTTATGTATAAAATATCAAAAAATTAGGTTTAAATATCAAACACACAATTCATAACATCATTTTGAAGTTTAAGATTTAATTTGTCTAGCGAGTAGTTCATCCAAGCATAGTACGTACTAAAACGAGCATAACATTTTCTATATAAACCTAATAATAAAAATATTTTACAAGGAGTTATTCAAGACATAAATAAACAACTTTTATTATTTAAGGTTCATCTAGAAAGCACCCTAAAGTCCTTGAACAGGCAACACCAATTTCGGATAGAAACTAATCCTCAATAACACCGATTTAACCATTCGAGTCCAACACACATTAACCATGTTTTAGTCCAATTAAATTTCATTCCAAGTCCAACCGATTAATCATCACATACTTGGACATGCACTAGGCATTATAAACATCACAATTCATCACCTACACAACATCCATAAGTGGAGTAAGCCAAGACATCAAACGACCACCAACACAAACCAAGCTCAACAATACAACAAACAAATCAACCAATACATAACTCAAACACATAAAAAATGGATATGTAAAAGCATAAATAAACCTACTTACAAGCTTAGATGTGGTTGGATTTCCTTAGATTTTCTTTCTTTCTTTTCCTTTCCTTTCCTTTTTCTTTCTCTCTTTCTTGTCGTTTTTTTTTCTCCTAATTTGGTGGTTTTGGTTTGCTAAAAATTTTCACCATCTTAACACTTTCTATATATATATATATACTTACTTTCCCTTTTAAGTGAATTAAGTTACAAGTGTTGAAAATTAATGGGACAAGGTGTTAAAGTTATGGGTGAGTCATATGAGAGGTGGCGGGTTTGGGACAAAAAAAATGGATGAGTTGGCTATTAATTCATTTAATGCATTGGTTAGGTGTCTAACTAAAAATTAGGTTATCTAAACACCCTAATTAACTTGATTCAAGTAACTAAGCATAGTTTCCTTCATGAAATTTTGGAAATTTCTTTTTTTAAAACTCGAAAATTCTTTTCCCAAAAATTCCTTGTCCATTGTTTTCCTAAAAATTCTAGCGAGTGGTACATCAAAATGGTATATACCAATTCGACCATAACTATATATATATATATATATCATGAAATTTTACAGAGAGCTAGTAGACCCATAGATGAACAACCTTTGTTCTTTGAGTTTTACCCAAAAATCACTCTAAGATTCCTAAATAAATCACACAAAATTCGGATAGAATATAATCCTCGATATCCGATTTTGCATATTTGATTTCTTAAATAATTAAACCATTAATCTCAAGCACAATAACTTTAATTTAACATAAATCACACATTTCAAGCATTAATTTCTCATGGTGTAATAAGAATTATACTTACACTTAATACATACATATATATAAATATTCTAATACGTGTTGCTTTACGGTTCAAGATTTTTACGGGAGTTACATTCACTCCTTTTTTTTTTTACCCTCACAGTATACTATTCACTCTTAGGTGTTCTTTCCTTTTTAAATTTTCACTCTTAGCTTTTTTTTTTTTTTTTTTTCCTTAGGTTTTTTTTTTTTTTTGTAATTTTCCAATTATTTCATTTTGATTTTTTTTTTTAATTGTAATTTTCACTCTTACTTTTTTTTTCCTTAGTTTTTTTTTTTGTAATTTTTGAATTATTTTATTTTAATCCTCGAAATTTTAAAATAAAAATTTAAATCCCTAACCGATGCACTACATGCCTTTCCTTTTTGTTTTTTTAATTTTTTCCATCAATTTATATTTTTTTATTTAATTGGGTGCTAAATTTTTTAACAGATCAATCGTTACTTATTTTTTATACAAAGTGACGATTATATAATATATATAAATCAAATATATAGTTACTTTAAAAAATTAATCTTCTCATCAATATTAAATAAAAAAATTTATTCTTTCATTGGTTAATTTTTATGCAAGTCTATACATTAATTGTAACTTTATTTTTTGGATATATTCTTATAAAACAATATATTTTTAAAGCATTTTTTTATATTCTTAATTAATATTTCATGTTTAAATTATATATTACAAGTTTTTATTTAGGAATTCCTAAATAAAGAAAAATAAATCATGTTTTTTTAAGCAAAAATTTTATGAAAAACACAAAAAAATAGTAATAATTAAATAAAAATTAATAAAAAAAGTATAAAATTTTGAAATGATTTTATTATGTACCATATTGTTACGTTGATAATTTCAAAAATTAATCTTCTCGACAGACATGAAATAAGATTTTTTTTTTCCATTTGTTAGTTTCTTAAAGTTTTTTTTAACTCGACGAGAAGATTCCTTTTCCATCCATAAAGAAAAATGACTCATGTTTTTTAATAAAAAAAATATATATATAAAAAAAAATTTAAAATTTTAATTAAATAAGAAATTATAATTAAATTTTTTAAATTTTAAAATGAGTTTGTTTCACTAGACCTACAGCATAGCTCAGATAACCAACTAATAAATCTAAAAGCGTTAGCAACCGGCTAGTAAAATCTAAAATTGTTGGTAATGGTGCTTACTAATCGATGGTTTCTGGATTAATAAACTGAAAAAACCAGAGCTAGTCCGTTGTGAGTGAAGAGTCACAAACCTCCCTGACTACATCGACAGCAGCACCACCTCCACCACCGAATTGGGACCCAACTTCATCAGATGAAGAATCACCTTCATCTTCCTCCCTGACATTCGACCGGGACCACCACGTGGCCTTCTTGGAGATGATGTACCATATGTTACCTTACCATTACCAAACACAGGAGATCAACCATCTCACTCTCGCCTACTTCGTTATCTCCGGCCTCGAAATCGTCCGTTCCCTTGATCGCGTAAGCTTTCATTATCTAGCCTAGTAAAGTATTATTTGATCTGGACGAAAATGAAAACAATGAAGTTAGAAGAAATTTCTTTTATGTGAAAGAAACAAATATAACTTTGTTGAGAAGACAGATCAAAACGATAAGACAAATTGATCTAATAAAAAAATGATCACGTACCGAATAAATAAACAAAAACGAGAAAGAAATAACTATTACAATTGACGTGATGGTGATGAACACGATAAACAACATTTGAAGTTCTGACAATGAAAAAAAAAGTAACAGAGAAAAAATAAAAATCATAGTGTTTTGTTTCAATTAATTAAACTCATACTTTTTTCCTTTTTAACTTTAAATTTTTATAGAATATGGAAGATTCAAAGGATTTTCATTATATACAAGATAATTATATGTATACTTATCTAAAAATTAAATCATAAACGTAGATTTTTCCTATTTAAAATCAATTTTGGACAGAATGATAAATGCTTAAAGTTGTGGATTATTTTAACACATTGTGTCTGAGTGTGGATTTAAACCAAACCCTAGTAGTGGTTATGGCTAGTTGGCTATATCCTAACGAAAGAAAGATAGTAATATAGTATATTTTTTTCAAGACGCATTCCTATAATGAATTCAATTATGTATATGTAATTATGAATAATTAATTAAAATATACCTTTTATTTCTTACTTTAGAACATATATTAATTCATATAATTTTTTTGGCCCTTTCAATTATAATTATAATTTATTTTCTAACCTTATTAATCAATGAATTCGTGAGATGTGAATCTTCATAAAAAGACATGCATGGTAACTACTTGTTTCTGCCTAATAGGATTTTTATGTACTAGTTGAATTTATAAGTAATTTATATGTATCATTGATATTTCTTTATGGATTTACTTTATTATTCATATGGTTTCGTATTTTAAAAAACATAAATTATTTAATTACAATAACTGCAGTAAGTTTTTTTTTTTTTTTATCTATCCAAAACTTTGCTACTTGAGAATCTTTTAACACGGACATACATCAGTCTAAAATTTTAGTACCTACTCTTCAATTCCAATGATTAACAATGCATATATAAATATGATGGCATTGGGTATATGGATCATTATTATTAACAGCACTTATAGTAATTGTATTTTGAAAAGTCATAAAGATTGTTGGTAATTGTATGTTGAACTCTTTAATACGTACAACCTTTTATATAAACCTTTATAATAGAATCTAGTTGTGTTGTGGTTTGATCCCACTTTTACGAGTGCCTAATTAAAGGTTGTTCCTTCCTAGGAAAGAAAAAAAAACAAGAGATAGAATAAAAAATTAGGAAGTCCAAAGGACCAATTATATATATATATATATATATATATATATATATATATATATATATATATGTCAAACTTGGAAAACACAAAGGCGGAATTCGGTTGTTGTAACAAGTCCTTTTTATTAGGAATAGGGTACCTAATCCATTTTAAGGTTTTGTTTAAGGTTTTGTAATTGATCACAAGTCTAGGGGTACCTCTTTCTATCTCGAGTTTTTATTGACGTCGAAGGCCGCACAAGACCAAGGTGATCGGGATTTTTGGATAAGAACTTTGGATTATAAATCTTGAATTTCTATCCAGACGGTGTTTTTCAAGGTCAACATTCATTTGGATAGGTCTAGCTTTAGTAGGAATCTATTTGTCATCAAAGTCTTTATCATAGGGTAGGTCAACACTATGTTATTTCCTATTCCAAAAGACAGTTAGTAAATCGAATAGATTTCCTTTTCTAATAGGTTTTGAAAATAAGAGATTTTCTTCTTCGGAAAATCATTTTGTAATCGACGTTGAATTTTTTGTAAAGAAACATCCTAAACTAAATGCGAGAAGATGTTGTTGTTTTCCGAGCAATCAAAGCATTAATCTCAAAATTATAAATAGAGCATGCTTTAATAATATTAAGATTCCTAGTCCTAGGTTTCTCAATAAACAGGAAAACAAGTTTTGTTTGCTTAGTTTTAAAAGAGATGCAATCATCATATACCTTATAAGGAGTTATAAGATTTATGAAAGGCGTTCCTAAGATTACCATATGATTCATATCTTCAACAAACAAAAAATGAGTTTTTATTGTAGTAATTTTGTTGACCACAAAAGCTTCGTCTTACCTTTAATGGTCATTTTAGAATTATTTGTCGCATAAAGTTTTTCTTGCGCTTCTATGTGAAACCATTTTGGAACTATGCCTAATTTAATGCAATTCAAATTAGCACCGGTATCAAACAAGGAAATAGTATCAATTTTGAATTTGTTTTGGAAAACAAGAGTTACCTTAATCAAGTATTTCCTAGAAGTAAACTCTCAAAGCACAAAAAGGAAGTCTTCCGAGACACGTTCAAGGTTTTGTAACCTTTGGTTTTCTTCGGGGTTTTCAAAGGCAGAGCCGGACTCTTCCTCTACCTGTTTTTCTAAGAGGATTTGTAAAAGATCGGAGTCTTTGGCTCTGTTTTTCTTTGAGCTCCTTAAGCTCGGACTTAATGGTTTTGATTTCGGACGTGAAGGTTACGTATGGTGGGTAAATGTTTTTTGGGTTTTTTGTTCCTGTCTAGTATAATCGTAAGGTCATAGGTATTAATACCGGTAGAAGGAAGGATTGAGGGTTTTGGTTTTTCTTTAGGTTTATCTTCAATAGACTTTAAGAGTCTATCTAAATATTCTTTACGTAATTGGGGATCTTCAACATGTTTGATAATGTCGAGGATAAGGTCTTGGTCTTTGGTTAATACATTTACTTGTTTTGTAATAGTCTCGAGCTCTTCATCTAAACTAGGGTTTGAGCTAGATGAGGTAACGAGTTCATCTACCGGAAAGATTTCTTCACTATCGGAATAATCGAAGGTTCGGATGACTCAATCAACAAGGCGTAGATTTTGTTGAAGATCTCTTCATCTAGTTGTAATTCCTGTAGTCCGGTATTCATGCTACAATATTTTGAAATATGGCCCTTTTGTTCGCATTTATAACGAGTAAAGTCCCTTTGGTCGGTTTTAGGTTTTGGCCTAAACTGGGCTTTTCTAAAGTGCTTCTGGGCTTTTGTTGGAAAGGCTTTTTATAGAAGGGTTCTACTTCTTTATGCTTTTCCTTTATGGTGATGATAAGGTTTTCTATATGATTTCCTATGGGTTTTAGCATCATAGTTATTTTTACATCCTGAGGGTTTTGAAGTGAAAATATCAAATTGTTTATAGAAACTTCCTAATTCATATCCGGTTTTCTTCATCTCCCACTTAAGGTGTTTTTGAAGTTTTATGTCTTTAAAAATTTTGAGTCCTTCCTTTTGGGTGAGACTAATAAGTTCACCATAGGTTAATTTGTGATAAGGAATCTGGTCACCAAAGGCATCCTTGATTCTAGTTCTAACCTTTTCACCTAGGAGGATTGGAAGACACGCAAGGAATTTCTCTTTTCGAAGGGTTGGTTGGAGTCTTCTCTAAGCATGACTACGGTAAGGAAAGTGGTTTTGTAATATTAGAAATCACCGAGTTTTTTACACCTAAGGTTACTCGGGAGTTCGAGCATTTTTATCTTTTAGGTGTGAAGTGTCTCCTATGAAATGAAAGAAAATAGTCAAGATGAGAGTTGACACGGCATCTTGGATTGGTTCACCTAAATCATCTAAGATAGGGAGTCCTTCTTGATCCGTTTGTATGAAATTTAGGATTTCTTGGTGTTGTTGGGCAATGAGATGGCAATCCCACCATCCTTTTAACCGGCTTGAAAAACCAATAATAAGGAGTTCTGCTATGGCATAGTCCGGGGTTCCAGTTTGGATTTTGTAGGCGTTAACTCGCCATGGTCATTTGTTGAAGTAAGCTTAGGATATTATACTTTGAGATTCCATCTATATTCCATTCGTAAATGGAAGAGGCATTGAACCTCGGTTGGGCTAATTTATTTGGTATTTCTCCTATGTTTGGGGCGGTGATCATAGGCAAAGGATTTTTCCAATGGAGTTTATTAATCTCGGGGAAAGATTTTGTCTCTAAGTTTTAGTCTAACACATTGACACTACGGGATTGAGGTGTCTCGAGCGCTACTTGTTTAGAGGTTCCTACGGAGGAGACTTCTATTTTGCTAAGCTAGTCTCTAATGGCTTTTAGAAACTTAGGTTTGTTGGTTTGGATTTGTTGATGACTTGTCCCTTTAAATCTCCCTGGTTAGGATTAAGGTAGTTTCCGATATTTGGCCTCATAATACCAAGAACAAACCCATGGTAAAAAGAACTTAGTACGTAAAAGGAAAAGAGGGGGAAAACGTTTTTCTTTTTTCTAAGGGGTTATAATTTGTTTGGAATAGTTTGTAGCTTTCGAAACACTTGGGATGAATATTTCGGGATGGAGTCAAAGTAATTCCACCATTGGAGGAACCACATAAGAATTTTTGAGGTATCAATTTTTGTATCAAAGTAGAAAAGCCGGGAGTGGCTTCCTTTTTTTTTTTTTGTAGAAAGGGGTATTAAACCGAGGCTTGTTGATAATCCCAATATGAGTAGGTAAGGCGAGTGTTTGGTAGTAGTTTTAAAGTTCTGTGGGAAGGCAATTGGTTTTGAAAGATCATATCCCCGATCAAGAGGATGGATGATTTTGAGGATACGACAAGTTGAATAGGCGAGTTTACGTATTATCTAGGGTAGGATGGTGTTTGAATATTTCGAGGTTCGTTGTTTCTAGCATGGCCATAGAGTAGGATTATGTTTTGGATAAATCCTACGGTTTAAAGTGCCAACTAGAACCAAAAACATTTTGAACTATCTTAAAAGGGTCATCATAGTAAAACCCATCTTCGACGGTAAAAATGTTTTGAGAAGCATTTTTTAAGAAATATATGGACTTTGATTTTTGATTTTTATTTTTTGATGAAATGATTTGAGTGTTTTGGGAAATATTTTGAGAAAGAATCTTTGAAGAATCCTTAGATTCTTCGGAAAGGGGTTTTACGAGAGGAAGAACCTTTACGTATTTTT